ATCAGAACTGGCGTTTTAACCCATGCAATGGGATAGATTGAGTAGAGCGGGGAATTTTTTTTTTCTCACTTTAATTTTCCTCAGACCAACCCTTAGGAAACTTGAGGATAGGAGAACTTGAATTTTTTCTTTCTTTCTTTGTTCCCTCAATGCTTTTAGAGAGTAAAATCTGGCTTTAAAAACCTAATAAGACTGCTATCTTGGGAGGACAAAGAAATGGAGAAAATACCAGAGCCAAGCACCCAGAGAAGCCAGTGTGGGTTTGAGCAGACTTAGCAGGCAGGCTTATGTGGTGAACACAGGTGCATCTGTAAGGGTCCCACCTTCTACCTGAAGAAGCTTGGGGAAGTCTGGGGTAACAGGAGCAGTTTTTCCCACGATGGCATTCCCTAGGTGTCAAATTTGTGCTCTGATCAGAGGTCACAGACTTAAATGCTTCTGTGAGCCAGGCAGGTGAGTGCTAATGAACCAGGCAGGCGGGGAGACTGCAGAGAATTGCAGGGCGCATCACCTCCAGCAGATGTTGCCCTGAAGGGACCTGAGCCAGGGCTGCTGGATCTTCTGGGTTTTAACAAAAGCCTGGGAATACCAGTGCTGCTGAGAACTGGGCTACCAGCTTCAGGTTCATTATTGAAAACAGACAAAGAAACAAGGGCCTGACCCTGACCAGGTTGTCCTCAGGAAGTTTACCTTACAAATTAACAAAGTGGAAAAAAAAAAAAAAAAAAAAAAAAAAACAAAAAAAAAAAGAGCAGTTTTTCCCACGATGGCATTCCCTAGGTGTCAAATTTGTGCTCTGATCAGAGGTCACAGACTTAAATGCTTCTGTGAGCCAGGCAGGTGAGTGCTAATGAACCAGGCAGGCGGGGAGACTGCAGAGAATTGCAGGGCGCATCACCTCCAGCAGATGTTGCCCTGAAGGGACCTGAGCCAGGGCTGCTGGATCTTCTGGGTTTTAACAAAAGCCTGGGAATACCAGTGCTGCTGAGAACTGGGCTACCAGCTTCAGGTTCATTATTGAAAACAGACAAAGAAACAAGGGCCTGACCCTGACCAGGTTGTCCTCAGGAAGTTTACCTTACAAATTAACAAAGTGGAAAAAAAAAAAAAAAAAAAAAAAAAAGCTAAAGTAAAACCAAAGAAAACTCAAACAGGCAAGGAATAATAGTTTCACACTGTCCTGTGCAGGACTCAACTGTCAGCGTCCAACACAGGGAAGGCCAGTTCCTGTTTCCACAGTCATCAGGAAGTAAACACGTAGTAATGCTAAAAATACCCCTTGGTCTCCCAGGACTCAGGGTGTCCAGGGAGTGAAAAATGGAAATGAAACAGTGAAGCTAATTGATTTTTGATAATTATATTACAATTTTAAAAATCAGGCTTGTCTTGTGAGTTTAAAAAATTATATCAATTTTCCCTGGCTTCATTTTCTCCAGAATCTAAGCTTGGCAGCAGAGAAGCCTATGTGTCTGAATATATTGGATAGAGATAGACATTTGTGTCATTTTAAACAAGATCAAAAAGAAAGAGTATAAAGAGTCTAACAAAAAATGTAAAAGCTATATCTGTATATCAGTAAGTGCGAGATTCAGGTGAGGGGTGTCAAACATCCTGCCCAGCCCCTAGCTGTCAGCGACGGCTGGGCCTTACAGGGCCCGCTGATGCTAAAACTGTGTAAGGCTTTCATGTGTGTCATTAGACCAGAAAACAACGCTTCGGTGAACTAGCCAGGTCCACTTTGCACGTTCCTTAGAAAATACGTTTCTTTCAGGGGCTTCTTTTCCCCTTTGGGGCTGCCCTTGGTTTCCTGGCAACCAGATTGCTCCTGAACCTGGACTGCAGAGTTGCAGCGTGTGTGATCCGTGGAATGTGGCTACTAGATCTGTGTGGGCACTAGAATCTCATGAAGAAGCCCTGAGTGAAGGGATGTGGAATTTTATGGATGACTTAGGTTTTCTGGGCGGCTAGGGTTTTTGAAAACTCAACAAGGCTGAGCTAACTCTTTTCATCAGTATCTGAAAATGGTTCATTTCCTATCTGACAGTTTGAGCAATTCACTGTGGCCACAATGCCAGACCCCTGGCCTGGACTTATACATCCGTTCACATGTTCTAGGAAATCCAGAGCAATAGCAGACAACCAGAAAAGACTGAGGCAGTGGCAAGAGTGGCGGTACTGGCAGAATATGAAGCCAAATGTCCTAGAACCCCAGAGTATTTTATGCAAGAGCTGCTCAGAAAGTCCAGAATTCTCTGGATGAGCTAACTAGACACAAATGGAACCTGCCTTTGTGAGATACATGCAAAGCAATAGATGGAGATGGTGGGGGCAGGGAGAAATAGACAAAAAATTGCTGAAAATGATAAATATTTATTTTAACCTTCCATTTTGGGCAACCTATTATTTAATTCATCAAGTCATTACAACATGACTGCCAAAATATTATACTGTGCTGGCATCTATAACATGATTAATAAAGTGGCAAATAGGCTTTCTCCCATGTGACAACTTTAATCAATTGGCATTGACTTCATGATTTGAGAAGCTTTGAGTCTGAGTTCAGTGAGCAAGAGTGCTGCAGTGGATTAGCAATGCCTGCCTAGGTGAGTGATTTGGTGTTGAATAGATGATGTTTTTCAAACTCTGGATTGTGGAGGTGACTGACAGAGTGAAGGAAGAGCTAAATGGGAGAGCACTCTGCCCAGAACAGCGCTCCTTTTATCTATTTAAATTACTAGAAATTTGCAAAAGAATTCCTCACTAAAACCCATAGTTTTAAAACTACTGAGGTAATGGGCAAAAGACTGGAATTTGGATTCTAAGCTAATTTCTAAATTGGTGCATAAGTTTGAGTCAGATATTTTAACTTACATGAATAACTGTCACCAGATATCACATAGCACATTTAATAAATGTCACATTTGTATCATAATAATGGTCATTCACCTTGATATTCCATCCTTGGTAGTGGCTCCCTATAATGTTCTATGAAGCAGTTTATTCTAAAGTCATAGTTTATTCTAAACAAAGGGTGAAGTTTGTTTATTCAAAAAAAAAAAAAAAAGCTGCTCATGAAGTTTACTCTACACAAAAAATGGCATAAAAGCGTCATCTCATTCAATTCCTGACAATTTTGAGAGCCTATCTAGGCTCTATGAGAAAGTGGTGTAATTGATTAATGATGTCTGCTATGAGAGTGAGATTGAGAGTGGTAGCATGGAGATATATATACTTTATTTTTAAACCTTTATCATAGATTAATATTTTTCACCCTATATAGCTCTTGTGGTGACAGAATTCCATTTGTTTTGTAGGGCAGAACTTACTGTATCTGTTTTCTCATTACATTTTAAAGTTGTAGTTATGTATTTCGGACTTAATTAAGAATCCACCATTTGCTCACACCTCAGTAATATACCTCTAGTCTTTATCTTTCTAGACCAGTTGCCCTTTTCCATTCGGCAGGGTCACTGAACCTTAAAAAAAAAACAGCTGAAAACTATGAGTATTCTTATCTTCACCCTCAAAATTTGGTATTCAGAGACAAGTTCCCAGCTACCTTGAGATCTATTCAGAGACCCACTACCCAGAGAGGAACTCTGGCTCCAGACTGAAGAGCCCTTTATTATTTTCCTTTTTTATATATGTTTCAATCACTTAAGCTTGTTTTTCCAAAATCTCTCCCAACCTGTGTTATATTTCTTACGGTGAAGAACTTCACGTTCTCATAGAAGTGCTGGGTGGTAATACTTCCAGTTTGCTACATGTCACACATTTGCGCCCAGGAGAGCCACAGTGAGAGGAAATTGGAAGCCCTGGGGATGGAGTGGGGGACTTCTGAGGAACTGCCTGTCTTCCGAACACTTCCTTCTGCAGATGTCTGCCGCAGCATTACCTCACAACACGGGTTCTGAGTACTGCTTTGGCCCCTGAATAGGCCTCTCTGACATCCAATATGTAGCTCTTCTATTCTGTCCTCAGCACCACTAACCAGGCAAATGGACTTTCAGCATCGTCCTTCTCACATTTACTTGTTTGCTCAAAAACTTTATATTGTTTTCCATGTCCTAACACGTACATAATAAACTCTTCTTTCCAGCTTTCGAATAAGCAACAAGACAATCTGTTGACAGCGTAGTGTCTTGAAAAGAAACAACAGCAACAAATAAAAATAAGCTGTGGCATCCTGCTGGCCATGGGAAATTTATTTACTCTGAGCCTCAATTTATTTCTCTGTTAAGTGGGGATGAATGATACCTTTTTCACGGACAAACCGATTGTGCATGTAACATGCTTAGCACATTGCCTCACACAAACAATGTTAAATAAAAAGTAACTATTATTGTTATAATCAATAATAAATGTAATGATAAATTCCTGGATCTGCTACTTCTGACTGTGTGGTCATGGGCTCATTATTCAACTTCTGTGAGTCTCAGTTTCCTTATCTGAAAAATAAGAATAGGTTCTAAATTATAAGACTGTTGTAAGGATTAGGTGATACAAATTAATGGAAACTGCTCCGTGAATGCTGGCTTCTTCATGTATTCCTTTGCCTGTCCCCATCCTTGCTCCTCAACCTTTTGTACCAGGAGAGAGTATTCCAAAATGCCTTGTGATCTAATCAGCCTAGCCCTATCACTGTGCTTGGCACTTGCTATAGACACTCTTCTTTCATGACGACACCTCTTTTCCATTTATCAAATTCTCCCCATTCTTAAAAATCCAGGACAAGTACTGTTTCCTCCATGAAATCTTTGCTGACTACTTGGTTTGCCACTGACTTCCCCCTTCACTGAGCAAGTACCACATTTCTTCAAGTGCTTGTCACACAGTTCAGCCATTAATTACATTCTGTCTTGTTCACTACAGAGATGCCTTTTATCTCAGGCCGATAGTCTTGGATATGGAAATCAATGCCATGTTGGTTTGTTTGAAGGTGAGAAAACCTTCCTTTAGAAAAAAAGGAAATTAAGCTCATCTCCTCTTTTTTGTTGCAGTTCCTTTTCATGAACAAGGAATGGTTCAAATGACTGTGAAAGACTACACGAGGTAGGTGACAGAGTCACTGTTATTTCACTGCAGGATTTTACAGCCACGTCTTTCATAAATGAAGTGGAAGTGAGGAGGTCTCTTTATAATGTCATGGATCTTGGGATCTTGTCACTGGTTTAGCCACAGTGCCTAAACCATTTGTACCAGCCTCGAGAGAGAGAGAGAGAGAGAGAGAGAGAGGTTCTTTAATTGTCGTAAAGGAGTGTGCAAATTAACTCAGCAAATGCTGGCTTGTGGGGAGTTTAATTAAAGCATCCACGTAAATGGTATCCTACTAAAATTCAGCTATTCATGAGGACCTGTTCATAAAGTAGTTACATCCGTGTTTCCATATTGTCCGTTATTATCATGCCATTTGCTGGACAAGAATGCCTACGGTTTCCACTGTTAGGTAGAAAGCATTTTGAGTGTCCCTAATATGAGGAGAGAGACTAGGTCCCAAAGGGGTCCCAACAGCAGCAGGAACATCACCTGGCAACTTAGTAGAACTGCAAGTTTCCAAGCCTCACCCCAGTCACATCACATCAAAAAATATGGACGTAGGGATCAGAAATCTACGTTTTTGCAAGCCCTTCAAATATTCTGAGGCCCACTCTAGTGTAAGAACCACCGGAACAGACAGTGTGCTTTGGGGGCTTGGGAACTCTGCTTCCCACGCTTTAGTCACTCTTGCCTTCTCTGGATAATTCGAACTTGTCGAAAACCAAACGTTCAACACTGTATCCCTCTACCTCCTACCGATTCACACCGAAAATGCTACTTTGGCATAGTTTTTCCCTCTTAGAAGATTAGATGTTTTTGCTACTCACAGAATCATAGAGGCGTGGGGACCACAGAAATCTCTCAGGCAACTCGTTTTGTTGAAGAGGAAAATGACAAGTTAAGGTCAGTGACTCACCCATATGCTCCTACAGCTTGGTTAGAACTGTGACTGTACGTGGACTCTCCTGGATCCAAGGTCAGTGCAGTTTCTGGGTAGCTCTGCTGAACATTATAAAATAAAGTGTGAATCTCAAACACAGAGTGAAACAAAAATTATGGCAAACCTAATGCAAACTGAGGGGAGGCAGTAAGTGAAAGGTATCTTCTTCCCGCCTTCCAAGGCTCTCAGCCAGCTCAGTCATCTGCTAAAACAGAATCTTTATTATTCAGAAACGTGCATTTTCTCGGCCTTAATACAGAGAAGCAATTAAACAAAGAAGAGGCGGGGCCCAGCTCTTCTTACCAAATGTAGACCAGGCTAAGGCAAATTCAGGAGCCCATGTAAAATAACTTGGTCTCCTTGGGAGAATTGATATCAACATTGTATTCTTTGATAAATTCCAATTTTGTGCCCACTTGCTGTTATATTTGATGAGGCTAGATATGTTATGGTATATCTGAGCCATATAAAAGCGAACTATATTATAACAGGGTTCCATTCTGTTTGGAAACCCTTTCTAATGACTTGCATTGCAGGCCTATTTGGAGAGAGAGACACGCTCGTTTTTTGCCTTTGCCGTAAGAAAGGAGTTTGTTAGTGTTGCATATGGATGACCACAGGAGACAGCACTTAGAGAGTGTTAACCATGCAGTATGAAACCCTCCACTATTATGAGAATCCATGCAGAGTCGCTTCAGTGGTTGCTTGCTCTACCTCTTTCATCACATAATTTTAACTTTTTCCTGAAAGTTGGTGCCTAGCAAAGCTGTATTCCTGAAAGGTTCCCCAATGATTTGCCATCTGTCCAAAGTGAGACATTCTGTCACCTTTATAATGAGCACTTGCGGGCACCTAACACTTAAATTCCTACACCTTCTGTAACACAACGCTCTTGAAAAGAGGAGCAGTTCCTCTGCTGCACACTCTCTCTTCTTCAAAGGTGTGGCCATTACGAGATTATTAGAAATAAAGAGGAAATGCAAATGTTTACTCTGGAAGGCCCCGCCCCACCCCCGACTGCAGATCTCTGCATCAGTTTTTAGAAACTCCCACTCTCTCCAGAGGGACCAGTTTCAACTCTTGCCATTCTGCTGCAAGTATACCACAAAGGTACGTGATTTCCAGGCACTTTTCATCCAGAAAAATAATTCTCTTCAACAATGGATTTCATGAAATTACAAATAGGCACTTGAGAAATACTTGTTGAATGGATGGATGAGAGAATGAATAAAGGATTTCGGAACCCCAACTTGCAAGAACAATGTAAAAGATTCAGTGAAGGTGGACTGAATATCTGTCAGTGGGGAAACGGCCAGTTAAACTATTGGGCCGCGCATTTCATGGAACTCTATACAGTGATAAAAGGAATAGGTAGAGATAACTATACTAACTTACAATGATCTTTAAGTCATATTTTAAGAGGAAAAAAATCAAGATGCAGAAAGATACATAGAATATGTTACTGCTTATAAAGCCAACAAGTGAAAACTATAAAGCATATATGTAACTACATAAAAAAAAATGTCTGGAAGGATACACATAAATTCAGTAGGAAGGCAGTCAGGATTTGCAGGGGTTAATGGCCAAGGGGAGAGGGACCCTTATATAGGACATTACAATTTTTAACAAAGTGAGTGTATTTTATGTCTTCCTTACCTGATTAAATATAGATTTTATTAATTTATTTTAAAAAGTAAATAATATTGAAAGTATTTTTAATGACCACTCAATAATTGTATTCTTGGCCATGAGAATGTGAGCCATTAGAAAGCAGGACTGTATTATTTTTGTTCTTTTTTGTGCCTTAGGTGCCTACCAGAGAACCTGGAACATGACAGACGTTCAATAAATATTTGTGTAAATGGGTAGTCAGTGAGGGGGAAGTGAGCTGGTATATATAAATATAATTTCCACATAACTGCAGGGTATCATTTTAAGTGCCAGCACTGAATAAAACAAGTTGAAAAAAAGACTTCTTGTTTCTCAGCCAAGTCCAAAAAAATACAGAACATATTTTAACCTCACCTAGGGACTTAAAGTCATTATTTGTGAACATTAGTCCCGTAGTCTCCATTTGGTGATATCCTCAACAAATCTGCGTGACTGGGGATGCCCCAGACTGATACTCTTTTTAAATATTCTTTTTTTTAGTCTACTGTTTTCAGGGTTGTTTTATTTTTCTTCTGTTTCATATTGCCATCAACTACCATTTTTTGTGGTTATCACTTCACTGCCTCTGGTTCTTGTCCCACAATCTCCCTGCCATATCTAATTTAACATCTGCCTGTTGTGAAATGGAAAAACTGTTAAGTAAACTCATTTTAAAGTACAGACAAGCAGTCCCTGAGCGGGGGTGAAGGACTGTCCTTTTAGGAAGTATATATGAGCTCTAGGAAATGCACCATCTGTTTGTCTATTCAGATTCCTCCTTTACTCAATTTCTGGAAGATTGGGTGGGTGAGGTGACTAGGGAAAAAAATGGCTTTTGGTTAAGTGAACTGTTACTGGATAAAGATATTCATATTTTTACTGCAGCATTCCTGAATGGCTGGAATTTTGGGAAAAAGATCCAGTGGAGATTCTCTTGGATCTGGGGTTTGGTGCTGACGAGCCAGACATCTACACACGAATCCCAGCCAGATTCCTGGGTTGTGGCTCAGCAGCTAGAGGAATCAACATCCGTGTTTTCCTCGAAGCTCAAAAGCAGCGAATGGACATTGAGAACCCTAACTCGTACAGTAAGTGAGGACCACATGGCGTCAGAACCTCAGCAATGGCAATGAGCAGTCAGATGAGCCACAGTATTAGGAGGGATGGGCCAAGAGATCTGTGCAGTAGCAATCAACCCCAGTATCTCAGTGGCTTCAAACAGAAACAAGTTTATGTCATGATCACTCTCCATGTCCACTGCAGATTTGGGGAGGAAGAAAGATCTGTTCCATGATGTTTTCCTTATCCATGGACTTGGCTCAACTATCTGGAACATCACTGGTTGTAATGACAGGGAAAGGGTGGAAATAGAGAGCCATACTTGGGTCTTAAAGCCTCCTGCTCAGAACTTACACATATCAAGTGTGCTCATTTCATTGTCCAAAATAAATCATGTGGCCACACTTAACTCCAAAGGGGTGACGATGTGCAGTCATACCACATGCACAGAAGGAAGACAATACTGGTGAACAGCACTAATACATACCATAGCCACATACCCAGAGGTCAGAGAAACCAGGATCTGGCAAGGCTTATTATGAGTCGCTAAGTGACACCTTAATTTTCTCATCTGTGAGACTGAGAACACTGCTTATTTCCACCCCAAGCTGTAATTGGTAGTTATAAACCTGTCATATCTTCAGATTTGTGGATTAACTGTGCTTAAATCTTATAGTTATCATGCATGCTGCAATTTTTCTCCAACTGATGGTCAATGGAATACTTTTCTCTAGGACACTACTGAGGTTATTCTTGGAGTATGTGTACTGTGCTCAAATAATTTGAGAGAAAGATGGCTTACAGTTAAACAGGTTTATTTACTGCAGGATTTGTTTAATATGCTGAGGTGCACCCTCAGTCTTCTAGAGGGGATGCAGTGCAGCGTTTTCAAAATCATTTCAGTATAGAACCTCTCTTAGAGGAGCATTAAGGAACGTCTCCTCCGTGGAATAGAGTTTGCAGAATTCTGGATTGCGGAACATACCAAAATTCTGTTAAATAAATTCTTCTAAATAAATAAATTCACTGAAAGGAAAGTCAAGTGAGATGAAGTGTTTCTCTCAAACAAATATCAGGAACAGAGGTTTTACTTAGATTTTTCATTTCAGTTTCTGTTTCCCCTGCTTTCATATGGGTGAAATGGGTCTCAGAAATCTCAGCAATGACGTTTTTTAAAAAGAGTATGCAAGACTGAAGGTGTTGCAATGTAATGTTTCTTTACCTTTAGAAGAAATTAATACCGTTCTTTGTTGTCTCCTCCTCCAAGCCCCACAGAGATGCAAAATCTTTGATCAATTATTTATTTGGGGAGAATAATAACACTTACCAATATTTGAGGAGTGATTGAGCAGATCTGTGAAGTAAACATTTCACAGATGAAATTGACACATGGATTATAGGGAAACCAGGAGTTGGCCCCTGATCCTGTGGCTGCTGGCCCCCTCTTATTTCCGCCACTTAGACCCGTGCTAATAGAGCACGGTAACTATTCTGACTCAACACTTACAGTACACTTTCAACTCGAGAAAACTGAGAAAGTCAAATGTAAAACAAGCAATAGTAAAATTAGTTGGTTGTCCCACAGACAGCATGGAAAAGTATGTCTCCTTCAAAGTCAGTACAAAACGTTCCAACTTGAAGGGATGAGAATCAGTTGGTTCATTGTTCAGTGGACCTCAAAGCAAAACAACAGACAAAACCCCCATCCAACACTTCACACTATTATGTTCTCTGAATTGCCTGAACCAATTAAATTGATAGGTTTTATGTTAGTCTAAGTATAAAAATCTGCTATAGAAGGGATACTAAGACAATCGTAAAAGTGGAATTATGATTCAATCATGCTCTTGAGCTTACAACTAAATTTAAGGGGGAAGCATAGTCAGAATATTTCTGAAAACATCTGGAACCCAAGAGTTCCTCTAGGTCTTGGCAGAATATCACAGGCCTCCATAAGACACCCATCACATTTTTTTGGAGTAGAATTATGAATGGTCAATATCTTCCACTTTCAGGTGAAGGAAACAGGTAGGCATAATGATTTGCTCATGGAGGAGTCTGTAGCATTGCTATGATGATGCACACAACAGAACAGAGGACAGCATCCTTCCACACCAGTGGGCCTTTGGCTGTTGATGAGCTATGCAACCCTTCATGCTATCACTGGGGTTGAGAGAAGGCTGTGTAATAAAAACAAAATGTTCTGTTTCCATTACTGTGGTTTTACTGTCTGGAGATACCAAAAATATTTTTTACAATTTTTTCAAAGTGGCAGTGCATCCCCAGAATAGCCCTTGCTACATTAGATCTCTCCCACATACTAATTAAGCCAGTTCTTGCATATTGCCCGAATGAGTGAGGCCAGGTGGTTCAGAAAGGCTTACAAGTTGAGGAACTGGTTTGTTTGGAAAGGTAAATGGGTTTTCACATTAACGACTATCTTCTCTTGGAAGACTGAAGACGATACATTCCCTTCCTGAGTTGTGCACATTTATTTTAACTGATATTTATGTAGCATTGTGCTTTTCACAACAGATGTGAGAGATATGTAAGACTGGTATTATTATCTCATTCTCCAGATGAAGAAACTGGCCATTTACTGTGTGCCAGACACAGGATTAAGCACCATGAATCTATTAATTCATTTACTTTGTGGTCACACTTTCAGTGACTGGTTGATCTGGGATTTGGATCCAGGCCTTCTGATTCCATATGTCATGATCTTTCCACACTCTCAGGTGAAGGGTATAGATGGATATGATGGAGGTGATGATGAGGATGATGACTGCCTCAAGCTATGGAAGAATCTCCAAGCTCACTTCATATGAAAGAGCTGGGTTCATTCTTTGACATTTACTTTAACACATGACATTAATCTCAAGACTCAGCCTTGCCTATAGTTTTTATAGATTAACACATAAAGACTATATGAATCTATATAGTCATACATATTCAACTGAATATAAAAGGCATTCTCTTTCCCTATAATGCAG